AATTTTAAATAGCTGTTTTCTATGTGAATATATGTTAAACTGTAATTGATTGCTGTGATCAAAGCTGAATTTCAGCATCATTACTCCAGTCTTCAGTGTCACATGATTCTTCAAAAATCATTCTAATATGCTGATTTTCTGCTCAAGAAACTTTGCTGATTATAATCAATATTGAGAACAGTTATGCTGCCGAATATTTTTGTGGAAACCGTGATACATTTTACTTTTCAGGATTCTTTGATGAACAGAAAGTTCTAAAGAACAGCATTTATTTGAAACAGAAATCTTTTGTAACATTACAAATGTATTTACTGTTATTTTTGATCAATTCAATGCATTCGTGCTGAAAAAAAGTATTAATTTCTTACTGACACCAAACTTTTGAATGGTTAGTGATATGATTAGCACAGTTAAATGAAACAGACCTTCTTCTCAAACCTTATAAACAGAAACTTAAAACAACACTTTTTTGCTGCTGTTGAGAGACTAACAACTTTTTCAAAAGTGTGCTTAACTGTTTAGAAGCAGATCTCTTAGAAGTGGTAAACACCTCACTTCTTTCTGGAAATTTTCCAAACTTTCTGAAAACTGCAGTTGTTAAGCCCCTTCTGAAAAAGAGCAATCTTGATAACACCATATTGAGCAATTATAGACCAATATCAAATCTTCCTTTTATAGGCAAGATTATTGAAAAGGTAGTTTTTAATCAGCTGAACAAATACCTAAACTCAAGAGGATACCTGGACAATTTTCAATCTGGTTTCCAACAGCATCACAGCACAGAGACAGCACTCATTAAGATAATAAATTATATTCGCTTAAATTCTGATTCTGGCAAAATATCAGTGCTGGTACTACTAAATCTTAGTGCTGCGTTTGACACTGTCGATCATAACATACTCCTAGAGAGACTGGAAAACTGGGTCAGGCTTTCTGGGATGGTACTCAAATGGTTCAGGTCATACTTAGAAGGGAGAGGTTATTATGTGAGTATAGGAGAGCATAAGTCTAAGTGGACGTCCATGACATGCGGAGTCCCACAAGGCTCAATTCTTGCACCGCTCGTTTAGCCTGTATATGCTCCCACTAAGTCAAATAATGAGAAAGAACCAAATCACCTATCACAGCTATGCAGATGATACCCAGATTTACCTAGCCTTAACGCCAAATGACTACAGCCCCATTGACTCCCTCTGCCAATGCATTGATAAAATTAACAGTTGGATGTGCCAGAACTTTCTTCAGTTAAACAAGGAAAAAACCGAAGTCATTGCATTTGGAAACAAAGATGAAGTTCTCAAGGTGAATGCATACCTTGACTCGGAACCAGCTTCCAGAAGAGATCAGATGTGCTAAAACATTAGCCACATTTAAATCTAGACTCAAAACTCATCTGTATAGCTGTGCATTTATTGAATGAGCACTGTGCAATGTCCGAACTGATTTTATGTATAATCATTTTCTATTTTCAACTGTTTTAAATTCATTTTAAATCAAATTTTTAATTCATTTTCAATGTTTTCAAATTCCTTGTTTTATTGTTGTGATTACTTTTTATGATTATTTTACTTTCTTTAATGTAAAGCACTTTGAATTACCATTGTGTATGAAATGTGCTATATAAATAAACTTGCCTTGCCTTGCCTAAAGGAATGTGCTTCCCCAGAACTGCATTTTGGAGCTCTATTTATAACTGATCTGCTTTAAATGTTCAGCCATAATAAATCCACTGTCTCCTTTACTCTTATCTTCAGTGTCCTGTCCTACAATTTACATGTTCCACACATGCAGATGTAGGCCAGAAAAAGTGCAAGTGTTTTCCAGCTGCAGAAGTTATCCATTATGGATGTGTTGTCCTCCCCTCATTGTCCTGATTTATCTAACTTGCAGACATATTTATGTAAATTGCTGATGTTTTTAGGACGTCAAGCAATTATCCCTTGGTGGCTTTAACAGAAGGTAGTGAGGACAATTCTCCTCAAGGTTGTTTAGACGGACACTCTGACGTGACTTGGGAAGAGTTACCTCATATTCCTGTGAGAAGCGTAGGCCGTCGTTGGCTTTCAGCCGCTCGATGTGGTCAGCCAAAGCACAGACAGAAACTGGAGGGTGTTCCCGCATTCCTGCAGGGAGAAAGAGAGGACGAACTGATAGCAGAGATTTCTATTGGCCTGTTTGGTTTTGGTTGGCTGAACTGAGGAACAAACACACTTTGGTTCACACAGTTTTTAGGCTTTTGGAAGATGGGCACACGTGAAAACAACCCAAAGCATGAGAGAAATAGAAGGCGAAGGAGAAAGCACTAAGCTTTTAGCACCATGCTATGTGCTAAGACTAGCGGCAGTGATGTAAGCGGTGAACGGACATGCTCATTGGCTGAAATATGAACTGCTTCCGGGTCAATAGGAAGGTGGCGTGAGCTGTCCTGTACAATCAAAATGGCATGTAAATGACACCGGCATATTACACAGAAGGACTACAACCTGAGCACACATTAAAAAACACAGATTGTTTTCCCTCCCATCCCACATCTGCTCAACTGAGATGTTTGAGACGGACAGCCTGTGGAAAGGACGTGAGAGATGGTGAAGCTTTAACTCAGAGCAGCCAAAGTGGTGGAGGGGGCGTGGCTTTGTTCTTGATGGACAGGGAGGAGGAGCATAGAGATGAAGGTAGTGAACGTTCACACAGGAACGCAAGAGAGAAACTAACTTGAAGTAGTGGGGCAGCTGAAGGCACTGGAACCTGCAGAGAGAAGATGAGGAGGGACTGTGATATATGTCACTTACAGAAGAGAGAGGAAGAGGAAAAGAGACAGAGTATGTGCAGAAAGAGCAAAAGAAACACCCATGAGGAGCAGAAGACAACATGAAACCGCTTTCCCTACATATTTAACTTATGTAATATGACATATTTCTGAGTGAAACAAAATATTCAGTGCAAATACAAAGTTCCAGGGCTCTACAGTGCGACCATTTCAGTCGCATTTGCGACTGAAAACTACTGCGTGCGACTATGAAAAAATATTTAGGAGCACCAGTGCGACTGACCAGATCTTCATCATATTTGTGATTGTGATCGCTGAGGGGAGCTTCAAAGGTTTCTACGTGTTTTTGCAGCGTTGAGTAATGTATCACAGACATATCTCATGAATCCTTTCATAAGCAAAGTAGAGACGGTGTAAATAAAAGATTCATTGCGCAGTGTAGAGAGCTTCGAGTTGCAGTGTGCTTCAAAACCCTCCACCTTCCCCAGCTCCACCTGTGTAGATCTGCAACAGGTAATTTGACATACTGTATATTATATACAGTATAGGGGTTATTTTATATGTGTTTTATGTGCAGCAACAGTATTTCTTACATGCTCACAGCAGCATGTCTGTGGATGTATTGGCAGTAGCAAGTTTCAGTAGAACTTGCTATGTTTAAATAACATTTAATGCATAAAATGACCAGAGCTATTTATTAAGTAAATACTCAAAATTTGACATTTTTAATGTTTTTGAAAGAAATTACTGACCTAGGCTGCATTTATTTGATCAAAAGCACAGTAATATTGTAAACTATTTTTACAATTCCAAATAATTGTTTTGAATTTGAATATATTTCAAAATGTAATTTATTCCTGTGATGAAACCTGAATTTTCAGCATCATTACTCCAGTCTTCAGTGTCACATGATCCTTCAGAAATCATTATAATACACTGATTTGCTGCTCAAGAAACATTTCTGATTATCATCACTGTTGAAAACAGCAGCTTTATATTTTTGTGGAAAACGTGATACTTTATTTTCAGGATTCTTTAATAAACAGAACGTTTGAAAGAACAGCATTTGTTAGAATCAAATCTTTTGCAACAATATAAATGCCTTTACTATCACTTTTGATCAATTTAATGCATCCTTGCTAAATAAAAGTATTAATTTCTTTAAAACAATGTACCTACCCTAAACTCTTGAGCTGTAGTGTAAATAAGGTCAATTTCTACATCAACCTTCCAAAGAATGAATCGAATCACTGCAATCTCACAATTGAAAGGCACTTTGTTTTCCTTTAATTCACATGAAAGCTCTCGGTTCAGAAATCAAGGACTGGCTTTCAGCATGTCAAAACACAACAGGATGTTTAAATTGCACCTTGTGTATCACAATATTCACTATTATGACACAGACCAAAGTATGAACGAGGCGCTGGAATATAGTTTGCACGTCTTTAAACAGTGCCTGAAACGTCAAACATTTATCTACAATACAAACAGCCTTTATCTGTGAGGTAAGCCATTTTTACATTTTCAGAATGTCCTGAAGCTTTTTGAAACACAAATTCTGAACTTTCACAAGTAAACAAAACAACAACACTGGTAGTCTGGTTCCTCATTTGAAGATTCACAAGCAAGGAAAATCAATTTCCATGGCAGGGAAGTTGACATGAATATTTCTCCCAGTTTCGCCATGAGAAAGATTGCGCATCAGTCGAGCGTGCGCTTGTAGCCCAACAATCTGACATAAGAACATGAGTCACTTTGCAACTGAAGCAAAAGCAGATTCTTATTGAAGTCAGCAAAATGTCTGAGCATTCAGAAATTTCCCCTGAGAGAGAGAGAGAAAGAGAGAAAAATAGAAAGAGACAGAGGGAGAAGTGCAAAATATGGATTGAAAAGAGCGAGAAAGAGAAGCATTTTCTCCAGTGAATCATCCTGTTTAATTCTATCCATCAAGTTCAAAGCTCAGTCTAAGCCAAATGAAGCAATAGGATGTGATGCCGCTATGTGTGTGTGTGTGTGTGTGTGGTTTGAGATTAGCTGGCAGGTTCTGCTCCTCAGTGTGTCCTTCACCTGACAGTGCGTCTCTGTGAATAATTTTCTGTCTTCACACCGAAGCTCCAGCTGAACCTGATGTCCATAAATCCAGTGAACAGTTTTGTCTCTCTTTCTGAGGCCTACATCCAAACAACCCCAAACTGATTCGTTTTCTAAAGACACTCTGTTGCAAAACCTAGTGAGCATTTTAAGGTATCACAGAAGTGTGCAGTATCATGACTCTTCAGACCTCGTTCTGAGGCAGTACCGCATGCATCCTTCAAGGATCTCAGAATGCATATTCAAAGATGATGGACAGGTGAAAAGAAATGCCTGTGATAGTCCAGTCAGTATAGAAAGGTATGAATAAAATAGTTCAATACCATTAAAAATTGACTATTTTACCCAATCTTTGTGGGTGCTGTCTTTCCTTATGCTTAATGGAGTATGTTAGAAACTAGGCTAATGTTTTACAGTGAACCTCTACACTGTAAACCCTGTGGACCATCCAGTGTTTTACTATTTACTACTATTTTACTACCATTAAGTTACTAGTATAATCAGTTTTATAGATATTATTTTTGTTTTTTAATTTTAAAGACACTCTGTTGCAAAACCTAGTGAGCATTTTAAGGTATCACAGAAGTGTGCAGTATCATGACTCTTCAGACCTCGTTCTGAGGCAGTACCGCATGCATCCTTCAAGGATCTCAGAATGCATATTCAAAGATGATGGACAGGTGAAAAGAAATGCCTGTGATAGTCCAGTCAGTATAGAAAGGTATGAATAAAATAGTTCAATACCATTAAAAATTGACTATTTTACCCAATCTTTGTGGGTGCTGTCTTTCCTTATGCTTAATGGAGTATGTTAGAAACTAGGCTAATGTTTTACAGTGAACCTCTACACTGTAAACCCTGTGGACCATCCAGTGTTTTACTATTTACTACTATTTTACTACCATTAAGTTACTAGTATAATCAGTTTTATAGATATTATTTTTGTTTTTTAATTTTGTTAAAATTTTAGTTAATTTGTTATGTTTTTGTAATTTTTATTAGCTATTGTTAGCTTAATTTATTTTTTAAAACGTCTATATTGTTTTTTTTTATTAAATTTATTTCTATTTCTATTTAGTTATTTTAGTACATCAAGTGAGAAATGTTGCTTTGGCAACTAGCTAAAATAAAAGGTTTATTTATTTATTTATGAATTTCAGTTTATTTTATTTCAAGTAACAATTTTTTATGGTTTTAGTTTTAGTTAACTATAATAACTCTGTATTAGCCATATTTAGAGACAGGCCCCTCTTATTCATCATGGATTTCTATTCCACCCGAATTATTATAAAAATCTACTGGTTGCTGTATATTATAATGTACAAAGCACATTTTAATATGGCTAATATGTGACCCTGGACCAGTCATAAGGGTCAATTTTTTGAAATTGAGATTTATACATCATCTCAAAGCTGAATAAATAAGCTGTCCATTGATGTATGGTTTGTTAGGATAGGACAATATTTGGCTGATATACAACTATTTGAAAATCTGGAATCTGAGGGTGCAAAAAAATCTAAATATTGAGAAAACCGCCTTTAAAGTTGTCCAAATGAAATTCTTAGCAATGCATATTACTAATTAAAAATTAAGTTTTGATATATTTACAGTAGGAAATTTACAAAATATCTTCATGGAACATAGTCTTTACTTAATATCCTAATGATTTTTGGCATAAAATAAAAATCAATAATTTTGACCCATACAATGTATTTTTGGCTATTGCTACAAATCAGCGACTTAAGACTGGTTTTGTGGTCCAGGGTCACATATATGGTTATAAGCTGTAAAATAGGCAGACACCAATTTGCCATTCTGTAATACTAGAAACACTGGCACTTTTTTTTAAAATAGTGAATTTCAAGTGAGCCGCTCAAGTTTTCAAGAATGGCCCTTCACGTGGAACACATGGAAAGTCACACTGGTTTCAAACACAGCTCTGTGTGTGTAATAAATGTGATGAGCTGTTTGTAACTCATTACTTTGATGTTAAAACAATAGAAGTCCATGAAAAGCGTCCATCATGACGTACCTTGCGTTTGATAGTTGAGCCTCCTCATTTCTACGGGGTCAGAGGAGTGGGCCAGTAAGTGATCTTTAACTCCAGCCGAGTGCTCATCTTTAGCCGAGGGCGAGGAGCGCTTCCTGTGCAGACAGGAAATGACATCAGACATGAGCATACAAACACACAGAGATCAGGTGGATGTGTAAATACGTAAGATATTTCTGCAACACTTTACAATAAGGTTCATTTGGTTAAACATTAGAATTAGTTGACATGAACTGACGTTCCAAAGCATTTATTAATCCTAGTTAATGTTACTTTCAGTATTTACTAATACTCTATTCAAATTAATAGTTGTATCTGTTAATATTATTTAATGGACCTGAGCTAACGTGAACAGTGAATAATTGCATTTTATTAACTAACATTAACAAATGCTCATTGTTAGTTATTGTAATGCATTAACTGATGTTAACTAATAGGACTTTACAGTAAAGTGTTACTGATATTTCCCGTGTGTCAGTATGTGTTACAGAGCAGCAGCACTAATCTGAGCTCAATTAAACTCTTCAATTGCCTCTCATTAAACACCAAACACAAACAAGCATTTATTATCGGATCAAAGAGAGCCGCTCGATACCCACCTCTCCTGTTTGCTGCATCCCACAGAAAGAGACAGAGAAGCAGAGGAGAGAAAAGAGAAAATGTCACAGGAAGAAAACGGCACAGACGCTGTGTGTAGGGCGAGTTTGTCAGAAATGTGGAAATGCCATTGCTACTAATGAGCTCCGATTCGAGCTGACATTTGCAAAATGAGTTTTCTTTTCACTCAACAGACATCTAACTTGAACTCTAGGCATTTGATTCTCCTGCACTGTTCAATAAGGCCGAATGGATTTGGTCATAATTGAGAAGAGGGGCACATTTTATCTGAGACTTGGACGTAATTTGGGGAGATCAGATTTTTGGTACAGTAGGTGTGTTATAAATGATCATTTCTGCAGTCTAGTTCAAAAATATATTCCCATTATTTGATCATTAAAGTGTTCAGGAAAAAAGAGCGTTCTAAGAAAAAAGAAACTGTTAAATTGCTGACTGTCATAGTGAAGTAAGATTTATTGACTTTTTGATTTTCTGCTCTTACATTGAGTCAGCAATGTCTCTGAGAGAGACCGGCTATTTATATCTGACAGGAGGAAGTACAGTAAACTCTAGTTTGCTACGCATGGCGAAAAAGAAAATATGGTCACTTAAGCAGAATGCAATACATGCAATCTCAGTGCTGGATGAATGATTGTATTTTTCAGTAAAGTAATAGTACCTCTTGAAGAGCAGGATGGTGATGACGATGATGATGATAAGGACGACGGCCAGCACTGGTCCCATCACCCACAGCATCTCTGGGTCCTCAACGTGACGGGACATCCCGCTGTGGAGCTTCACCATCATGGGATCAGAGTAAGGGCTCACCGTGAACATCTTATGGTACAGAAAGGAAGAGAGGATGGAGAAAGGACAAGAACTACTCAAAAGACATTCATACATATTCTTTATTATGACTATTTTGCACATTTCAACATTAAAGTTATCAAAACTATGACATAATACAAATAGAAGTAAGGGAAGTATGCAGTAATAAAATACATTAAATCAGGGATTCAAACGTTTTTGCCAGTCAAATCCCTTTGACCTCAAATATTTATTTTTAATTTAATATTTCAATAATTGAAAAACACATTTGCATGTTCATGTTCTCTGATGTTGGTTAATGGTCACATGACATGCAAATAAATCTAGTATTTTATGATTTAATTGTTAGGTTTTCATAAACTCACAAATCCCAGTTTGGGAAACCCTGTAAATGAAAACTCTCTAAAATGTGGGTTCTTTCAAACATTTATTTAGAATCATGGATTCTCTTTGTAATTTTTGTTTATTTATTTATTTTTTTTGATAAACCTTTGACCTCAAATATTTATTTTTAATTTAATATTTCAGTAATTTAATTGTTAAAATATTTTTTATTTTTAACTTTTATCTTTTTTTTGTAAGTGTTTATTAGTGTATTTAAGTAAATATTTGCTTTTTCTTTATCATCTGGTTAAAACTCATCTATATAAGCATGCATATATGACTAAATACACACACACAGACACACAGACACACACACATATATACTGTAGAAATTCATACATATGGACAATGGATATGAATTACATGTTTATATAATTATATGTCTATAAAACTATAAGTGAATACTTAAAATGACACTATAAACATTATTGTAATGCATAATACAGGCTTTATAGGATGTGTTAGAGGATGTGACAGAGATCAAGCAAAAATGTTGCAATAGATGTTGTCTATGCCATCTATAAAAATGCTAAAGGTTGAATTTTGTAGGTGTTTTTCATGAGACAGCCAATATGCGTGTCAACACTGTCACTGACATTCAGTGATCACATGCAAAGTGAAAAATCTTTGTATTTGTGTTTGAGCAGAGCAGGAGGAAAACCTTCACATCTTCAAAGTAGCACAGAAGTCAGGCTCCTTCCACAAACGCTGGCAACTAATCGTCTTAGTAACACCTTTTAGACAGCACAGCGGGGCGCAGGAGAAAGAGGGATGGAAACAGGAAGATAGAGAGAGAGTGAGAGCGAGAGAAAGGGCTGAGGGAGGGGTAACCTCTTTCATCCCGCTGAGAAGCGGAGGATACGCATCATCAACCAAATCCCATCAGTGCTACACCTTCTGCATTTCCTCCGGAAGCGACACCAGGAACCACAGAAACCATCACTGCCCAGAACTCATTTACAGCAGCGCAGCACAAACAGAGAGTCTCAGAGGAGTCTCAGCGCACAAACCCACAGTTCACCCAAAAATGAAAACCGTCTCATCCTTTTTATATAGACATTTCGCAAAATACCTTCTTTCATGTCTGCAGAGGAAAGAAAAGGTTTCCTCTGCAGAAGTTTGGAAAAACACACTTTCCTACTTTGCAGTATAAATATCTAAACTTTCTTTAATCAAGATACATTTACTTGAGACAGAAAATGATTTAAAGTATTAAGCCTTGTTTAAAAATAAATAAATAAATAAATAAGTTCAAAAATTAAGTTAAATTTTATGCTTAAAACAATAAAAAAAAATTGCCAGTGGGTTAAAAAATAATCAACTTTATGAAAAAAAGTTTCACTTGTTTTTAGCATCGACATACTTAATTTGGACTTTTTTTTCCAGAAAAATAATGAAACATTTAAATTTAAATTATTAAAAATTATTTTTGCAGTGCATAATGGTGAGTAAATGATGACAGATTTTTCATTTTAATCAACTTCAAAGCAGAAGCGTATTCTTTGTGAATGGCCTCTAAGTCATTGACTCAGTGGGAAGCAAGACAGCTCAATTCTGTTTCAGACATGTCCATAACACTGATGGAACAACAAGAAAACAATGAAATGTTTTCTGCTTTAATTTTTCTGGATTCCGTTTTAATGATTTAATTAGCATTTAATCAGCAAAGATCACATCTAATCAATCAAAAAAAAAAAAAATTTTATGTAACAATTTAATAATTATTTTAACTTTTAAAAACAACATTTTAACCCATGAGAACATTGTATGTTGTATTTTTGAAATGTATTTTTTCCCCTAAAATTCCATATATATATATATATTTTATTCTAGGTTTAAGATTTAATCCAAATTTATCATTAAACCTGAAGTAATCAAATGATTTCATAAAACTTTAACACTTTATTCAACTTTGAAAATTATTTACAAACCAAACACCAAAACTTTGCTTTTTTTTTTAAATGTTTACTGTATGAATTAATACAAGGCTGAAAACATCTCTTGATTATTACTACTACTACTGCTACTACTTTGCTAAGTATGTTTATGTTTACATATTTCTTTTATTTTGGTGGTTTGTTGTGAAGACCTTTAAGGTTCTGTCTGTATTTGACAAGTGTTTCTCAAGTGAAGTGACTCTCGGAGCAGCTCTGGAGATGAAGTTCATGTGTTCAAGTCACACCAGAGCAGCACGTGTGCTTCAGTATGTGCAGTAGACAAAACTGCAGTGCTCGGTCACACAGAGACAGGCAGAACATGCAGACTTTCATGATATTTCAATAGCAGTCTTCTGTGGTTAAATAATCACAGACACTAGTCTGCATCACAATTCGAGTCTTCATTTATTTAAAAAAAATTGTGTGGCACTTTAATGACTGGATTCCACGATTGCACATTTTGGCAACAGTCACAGGGCTCTAGATCTGTCAGGTTATTATGATCATCACCTCTGTCTCTCTCTGCAACAGGATTGAGAGAGCGTCTAAAAGCGCTGTGGGAATCTGTCAGTGGGAAACTTTCACAGTGATCAATTTAATCGGCACTACCTTAGACGGAAGCACATCCCACAGCGTGAGTAATGCATCTCTGACTGACTCCAGCCACTATTTACTGATGCATATTCATGTGTGTTTTGATTTCTCCTTCACGTCTTCTCCATCTCCTCATCTTGGAACGTGCAGGTCTCTCTCTCCAGCATTAATGATAGCATCTCTCTCTTCTCCGCCATCACACTCTCTGCTGATCTGCAGCAGTCCTTCATGTGATGTCTCTTTCTCCTTCTTTCTTTCATCTCCTCCTCCTCTAATCTGTTTTTCTTTAAGTGCTGCGGTAGTTTTGCAGTTGACCTCTTTCATCCAATTTCACACCCGCTAGTCTGTTTACCAGCCCACCGCAGACTGTCCTTTCACAAGACCCTCTCACCTTCTCATTTTTTTTTCTTCTGGTCCTCTCCTTTCATTATTTCTATTTTAAGATTTAAATTTAAGATTTGAAAAGAAAAATCAGATTGAATATACCATAGGTCAGATGGGTGTTTTAGAATCACTGAGATGCAAAAAATGATTGGTGACAGTTCAAATATCTAAACATTCTTAAATCAAGATACATTTACTTGGGAAGCAAAATTACTTAAGATATTCTGCTATATATATATATTGCAGTATTAATAATATTATTATATATTTTTATATTTTGAATTAGTTTGTATTTTTAGATTTCCTATTTTAATTTTAGCTACAGTTTTAGTAATTTTGATGTGTCATTTGTATTTATTTATTTATTTTTTCAAATGCCTATGTAGTTTATATTATTTTTGATTTCAGTTTCAATTTGAGTACACAGTTATTTTGTAAATTTAGTTATTTTAGTACATAAAGTTAAACTAAATGAGAAATGTTACCTTGGCAACTAGCTGAAATAATTAAAGGTTTATATATAGTTATATTTATATTTATACATATACAGTATAGTCTCACATGTGTACATCTGTGTGTGTGTACCTGTTATTCCCTACTTTATGGGGACCAAAAGTATTATAGTAATACCAGTACATTTTGTCCTTGTGGGGTCATTTTGTACGCCCCCATAAGGAAACCAGCTTATAAATCATACAGAATGAAGTTTTGTGAGTCTAAAGTCTAAAATGCAGAAATTTTTTATTTTTTTTGTGAGGGGTTGGTTTAGCGGTAGGGTTAGGTAAGGGGATAGAAAATACAGTTTGTACAGTATAAAAACCATTTTGTCTATGGAATGAACCCATAAAACTCAGAAACCAGTGTGTGTGTGTGTGTGTGTGACTCACCGAGTCCCGGTCCTTCAGTGCTGCCAATATAAACGTGCGATACTGCTGCTGTCCAGGCAGAGGTTTGTTATGGAAGCCGCTGTAGGTTTTCTCGTCTCCTAACACAAAGGTTTCTGGAAGATTCTCCAGCTTGGCAGCGATGTAAGGCCGCAGGAAGTCCTGAGTTTGTCTCCTCCTCCTCTTTCTTACACCTGAGTCTCCATTACTGCCCAATAGCTGATAAATCACAGAGAACACATCACATGAAGCACATCAGTAAAATGACAAACAGTGATATACTGGGAAAAAAAGCATCCTTAATGCATAAAGCCACTGACATGAATGTTTATACAACCTTCGTATACAAGTTTTATAAGGTTCTAAATTATGTCAAATTTTGGGGCAAATTGGATTAATCAAGAGACGTTTTTCAACCCATTTTTGACTAAATGAACAGAAGAAAGATTGATACTAAAATAAATACTAATTTATTTAACTAGATTAAATTAAATGCATATTAAAAAGACACATTAGGGCCACACGGCAGGTTCATTTTAAATACTTCAAAATTATTGCAGTTATATAAATATATGTAAATGGATTAATTTGATCAAAAGTGACAGTAAAGACATTTACATTTTTCTATTGAGATTTCTATTAAAAAATGCTGTTCTTTGGAACTTTCTATTCATAAAAGAATCCTGAAAAAGTGTATCACAGTTTCCATAAAATTATGAAGCAGCACAGCGGTTTTCAACATTATATTATTAATCAGAAATGTTTCTTGAGCAGCAAATCAGCATATTAGAATGATTTCTGAAGGATCATGTGACACTGAAGACTGAAGGATCACTGAAGACACTGAACGATGCTGAAAATTCAGCTTTGATCACAGGAATAAATTACATTTTAAAACATATTACAATAGAAAACAGTTGTTTTTAATTGTAATAATATTTCACAATTTTGCTGTTTTTACTGTATTTTTGATCAAATAAGTGCAGCTTGGGTGAGAAACCTCTTTCAAAAACATTAAACAATGCCACCCACCCTCAAACTTTTGAACAATTTATATACTGGCCAGCAGTCCTCTAGGTCTGTGCTGATTGGCACTTTCAGTCCATGAAACAGCTGGACTGTGACCCAGAGGTCAGAGGTCAGATATCAGCCTCAGGTGCTTCAATCTCAGGCATCATTAATTCAAAATGACACACACACTCTTTCTCTGGTAGCTTTATCTGTCTCTTTATAGACCACTTCCCCTGTTTCTCCATTCCTCACTCTTTCTCTCTTTTTCTTTCTCCCCACTACCATAATAACCAACAGACCGCTGCCTCTTTAGCTTTAGTAAAGCACATTTGGTGAAGACTGAATCAAATCCAAGGGCACAGGATTTCAGCTGAACAAATGGAGTCTAGCAGCAGAGAGAACGAGGACTGCAGCGAGTATAATATCAGTGCAGTGATAAACACCAGCACAACACGCGATCCAATAATACACCTCTCATTTGACTCGGCAACGCTCATAAATAAGGGGCAACTCGGGGGAGAACGGCTGCGTGAAAACGGGCTGTTTCAAAATGCTGGTGACACCATTGTGATTTTTACAGCGCCGCTGCATTTTGATATTCAGTAGGCAGCACCTTAAAAGTTTCCCCTATTTTGCAGACGATAGTTTATTGAGAGCAAGCAAACTCATGAGAAAGCAGAATTATGCTGGAGCCCGAAAGCTTAGTAGTAATAACAAAAACGCAAAAATGCCAAGTGAAGCATATTAAGAGTCCTCAAAGTGCCTGTGTGTCTCAACAGCTGATGCACAGATGCAGAAGAACTGAGAGACGTGAAAAATAACAAGTGGAACAACAAAATAGTTGCATCATAGTGATGTATGTTCATAACATAAATAAGCTAACAGAGTGTGAAACATCTGTTTATGTTATTTTTATATGATCATCACAAACTCACCTCATCCAGATCCATATCCTCTGGGTTTTCCCAACGGCGTAGAGTGGATGTAGTTACTGGCACCACCACTATATAAAACCAACTAAAAGGAAAACAAAGAAACAAGTAATTAACAATATGATCAATTTTTCCTTACCATGCATATATAGTTTGGAGTCAGGCAGATTTTTTTAATGTTTTTGAAAGAAGGCTCTTCTGCTCACCAAAGCTGCATTTATTTGATCAAAATTACAGTAAAATTAGTAATATTGTGAACTATTATTACAATAAAAAAACTGTTTTCTATGTGAATATATTTAAAAAAAGAAATGTATGTGATCAAATCTGAATTTCAGCATCATTACTCCAGTCGTCAGTGTCACATGATCCTCCAGAAATCATTCTAATATGCTGATTTGCTGCTCAAGAAACATTTCTGATTATTATCAATGTTGAAAACAGTTGTGCTGCTTCATACTTTTGTGGAAATCCTGATTTTTTAGGATTCTTTGATGAACAGAAAGTTCAAAAGAACAGCATTTATCTGAAATAGAAATATTCTGTAACATTATAAATGCCTTTACTGTCACTTTTGATCAACTGAATGAATTCTTGCTAAATAAAAGAAAATCTTTTAAATGATTGTGTTTATTCACTATTTATTCATTACTGTCACACCTCAGGTCATCACTACACGACTCAAACGATGTTGTTCATAAGTTAGACCCGTTTCACACACAACAGAACTTGATAATGAAAAGCATGACCCTCTTCATCTCTGATGAAGACAGATTCTGGAGTTCACAAACTTTTCTAGCTGTGCTTTATCACAGGTTCAGTGCGTTTGTTTGTGATGAAACAGTCTGGTTGGGCATTATACCACTGATTGCATTTTTAAATGAATCTGTGTCAGCCATGCAGCCTGTGGCTCGTTCAATGACTGAAACAAACACTTGAAACCCAATTATCGGGTGAGTAATTCCCACACTCTCATGTCAGGCCCAAGCAAGAGCATTGTTTGATATGTGTGATGTCTATAACGTCTGATGTAACTGCCGCTAACAATCTTGCTCGGGCTTTGATGAGGAAATACGTCTGGTAGTTTCTAATTAAAGCATTTCTGTGCTGTCTTTGGTCAGAACCGATCCTGCGGGCAGCGTTCAGTTGGCTCAGACTGCACCGCATTACATCAAATCCAGCTCGCTGCAGTGAACTAAACCCGTGTGAGACGCTCCTGTGAGCTGGGATGGGAAGTGTTTGAGTATTAACCTTCAGCCTCAGTCTTGCTAAAACACAACGGTCCAATATTTGCCCAAAGAGGAACAGGATTCTTGTCTACGTGCGCTGGCTGAACTCTGAGACTCCTGCAAACATCGCCTGAGAGCCGACACATTTCATCTCTGAGCTGTTTTAAGATAAACAATGAGGAATAAGTGCTAACACTGCTGCATTAGATGAACAGTAATGATTATGGTTGCTTTTACTTTGACATCAAATGTCAGTAAATGCAAAAGAAAACATTACTTTTTTTTTCTCTGCTTATTGTCAAGGCACTTAATGTAGGCTACAAGCAATGTATGTACAGTAATGTACACTGTTAGACATTTCTGTAATTTCTACAGTTATTTACTGTATATCACCCAGTATAATACTGCAAATTCGCTTTACAGTAAGTAACTGTAATACCCTTTGCATCATGGGAATTTTCTCAACGCCGCAACAGCTTGGGGCTGACTATACTGGATGTTACATCGCGTGTAATGATTGGAAAATCCGTTTGTCCTTCGTATCAGAAACAGCCGAGCGCTTGGAGTACATCTGTACGTCAGAAAGAAACCGCGGCATCACTTTACTGTCCGCATCCACTGTAGATAGTATAAAGGGTTCTATATTGTCTTTTGCCGAGTCGCGCCACGGGTTTTGCCCGGGGATGAACAAGCAAGAGTGGAAGAGGTGTAATGTTTGGAAAATCTGTTTGTCCTTCGTATCAGAAACAGCCGAGCACTTGGAGTACATCTGTACGTCAGAAATATACGGCGGCATCACTTTACTGTCCGCATCCACTGTAGATAGTATAAAGGGTTCTATATTGTCTTTTGCCGAGTCGCGCCACGGGTTTTGCCCGGGGATGAACAAGCAAGAGTGGAAGAGTTCTGTCAAAACCATCTACGACCAACAAATCGCTGCGTCACTTCCCTGAAAACAGCACTTCTGAAGGACCAAAATAGTATCCTGTTGAGGTGGGCTGAACATTTTGACACCCTGCTTAATCAGGATTCTGATGCAGACAAACTGCCAAAACTTCCTCCCATCCACGATCTCAGACTGCCACCAACCTTTCAGGAGGTTCTATCATCTGTCCATTCCCTTAAGAACAAGTCCACTGGCGCTGATAATATCCCTGCTGAGCTACTGAAGGAGGGGAGGTACATATGTATGCACACCCTCTACCAGTACATCATCAAGGCCTGGACTGATGAGAACATCCCACAGCAATGGAGAGATGCAAATATTGCTGTTATCTATAAGAACAAGGGTGACAGGGCCATTTGCGGCAATAGTAGGGGCCTATCACTCCTTTCTGTGGGTGGTAAGGTCCTGCCTGGCCAAGGTGATGCTTCATAGACTCTAATATTCTCTATTCTCTAGTATTAACAACATCACACATAATGTTGTCAGTCAATGCTGCCTGAATCACAGTGTGGATTTAGGAAGAATAGGAGCACGATCGACATGATCTTCACAGCCCGGCAGCTTCAGGAAAAGTGCCGGGAGCAACATCAGGACATGTTTATGACCTTTGTCAATCTCTCAAAAGCATTCGACACTGTGCAAAGAGAGCTCTTATGGGATGTACTCCTCAGGTTTGGCTTTCCCAATAAATTTGTTAACATCCTCCGCCAGTTCCATGATGGGATGACTGCTCGAGTGTCCATAGGCGGACAAGAGTCCGAGCCCTTCCTTGTGTGCACAGGGGTGAGGCAGGGGTGTGTGCTAGCACCAGTGCTCTTTAACATCTTCCTCCTGTGTATCACCAAGCTTCTCCACAACGAGATTGAAAATAGCAGTGGCATAGCAGTAGACTTCAGACTAGACGGCAACCTCTTTAATATTAGGAGGCTACATGCAACCAAAAAACTCTGTAGAGAGCTGGTCCTGGAGCTGCAGTATGCAGATGACTGTGCTTTTGTGGCCCATACTCCAGAGGACCTTCAAACTGTCCTTGCTGTGGCGGTTAGGGCGTACAGCAGGATGGGGCTCACTGTCAACACCACCAAGACAGAAGTGGTTTGCCAATGGAGTACCAATGTCCCACCCACACTTCCTGCCTTCACTGTTGGGGATGAACAGCTGTCAGTAGTGCCATCTTTTAAATATCTGGGGAGTATTCTCGCTGAGGACTGTGGCATCGACAACGAAATCCAGAGCCGCATTAAACAGGCATCAGTTGCCTTTGGGGGACTTCGGCATAGTCTTTCACAACAAGAATCTTCATCCCTCCACAAAGGTCGCCGTATACTAAGTGGTCTGTGTCACCACCCTCCTCTATACCTGTGAAGCTTGGGTAACCTACAGCCGTCACATCAGGTCCCTAGAGCACTTCCATATAAGCTGCCTTCAGCGCATTCTGGGAGTTACCTGGCATGATCGTGTGTCTCACACTGAAATACTTAAAAAGACCAACTGTAGAAGTATTGAGGCCATGATCACCCAGCGCCGGCTGCAGTGGTTCGGGCACGTGATAAGGATGCCCCCATGTCGACTGCCCCGCAGAGTGCTATACGGCCAGCTACATCATGGACGATGTTCAGAGATGTTCTCGAGTTTGTGGGTCCAGGATAGGACTGTTTAGCCATCAAAGATCTCACCATTAAAGGCGTGGACGTCGTCATCGGATTTCGATGGCAACCGAGAGAGAGAGAGAGAGAATTTATAAATTAAAAATTTGGGAAGATGGTTGGTGCGTTGCATTTCAAATGCACTTTTTTTAAGCGAAACTCATAGCACTTGCAGAGATGGAGCTTATGCGGCAGCATTTTTATTCAGCAGTGAACCAAACTGAAAACACTGGATCATGAGCGGCTTCTGTGTAAATTAACACAGTGCCATGCTTCACTCCAATTCAGGAGCTGCTAGATCCAGATTCATGGTTGCTATAATGATGAAAGCAGTTTCATGATCAGTACAGCATTAACGACTGCAGAAGATTATGGGTTATGGAATTATGTTTTATGGCGTTATGTTTCTCAGACTGACCTGACGAGGGCGCTGTTGTGCACCTTGGGCAGTGTGATGGTGAGTTTGCCGCCCTCCTCTGAATCTTGTTTGTAAAGGGCCGGTTTGGTGGTGAACAGGTCCGGGGCGGTGCGGATGGAGACCTGCTGCTGCAGTCCGCCGGCGCTGTTCCCTCGGCTCATCAGCACAAAGGAGTAATCTGTGTCCGGCTGCAAGCGCGTGATCAGCTTCCTCTTCAGGTCGCCCTGCACCTCGACGCTCTGCTGGTTATACAGGATCTGACAACAGGGGGCGCACAGGTTAACTGTCACACAATGACATTCATTTTACACTGCATTTCTATTTCACAATTGCTGCATCTCACCTTGAAAGGCACTTGGGACATGTATGTTTCTGGCACCTCCCACGTGAGCAGGACAGAGGTCTTCATCACAGCTTTCACACCAAAGTTTTTAGTGAACTCTGCAGAGGAGGTGAGAATAAAAGAGTTACTGCATGTCACAGACATATTTCCAGACCGGCTCAGTGATACACAGAAGAACTGCATCACTGTGTAACGAGACTGCACTGATTAACATGCTGTACATGATAACATCTCAAGACCTTCATCTCAAACCACACATGAAAATTCAAAGCCAATTATATGCTCTCTGCATGTGGTTTATGCTGTAGGGAAGTAGAGAAGTCAGAACACGGAGAAATAATGGAGATGCCATCTCCGCAAACATATTTAAAGGGACAGGACAGTTCACCCAAAAATTAATATTCACTCATTATTTCATCACCCTTGTTGTTCCAAATAATGAATTTTGGGCTGATGCTTAATGGTCAAAGTAATAATTGCGATGATCAATTTCATTGTCTGTTTTGCTGATGCCACTTAAAGTATAAGCATATACATAATTTCTATTTTACTTTCAAACATGATTAAATAGACCCATATGTTTTTTCTTTAATGCTGTGAAAACAATATTCTAAAAGTTAAACTATTTCTCTTTATGTCTGTAATATTAGTCCACTACGTTCACACTGGAGCTAAGCAAACCTGAATAAAATAAAATAAATATAAAATAAAATCATCAACTGTGTGTGAAATTCTAAGGATCAAGAATGTTCGGCATGATGCAAATGTTAAATAATAGTAAAACCAGAGCATTTTTTGGCCATTGCGTATGTTAGCCCTTGATTGCCTAATGTCTTATTTGAATGGCAAATCTCAATGGTTATTTCAAATAATTGCAATTAGATCAAATAACTATGATCAGATGGTTAATCAATAATCACAACAGGCCTGGTTCCAAACCTATGGAACACAGAAACAATTGTTAAGCAGAATGTGAATTGTTAGTCCATATGTTCCTTGGAAGAAAGACAAAAAATCAGACAGAAGTTTGGGAACAACATAAGGGCAAACTAACCCTTCATGTTTCTAGCAGAAGACAAGCTGCATGTGGAGTTTGCAGTGACTGCAGTCCACAAACCGTACGTCTGCTTCCTCTCCAACCATCTGCTCTACTGAGTGTATTTTAATGCACACTTTACATCTATAATGTAACACATTTTCGATAGAAACAGAATTTTGGATGTAACTTCATGACCGCTGAACACACTGACTCACATCTTGTCCAAGATAATTGACGATTTTGTCCTAACAGCTGTGACTGTCCACAGCACCATGCGTCAGTGTCAGGTATTTTTCAGTCGCTTGGCTCTATTAGTATCACACTGCACTGGGAAGCTCCTCACACAGTGAAATCTCATTGGACCAAATCATTAGCAAAGAAAAACCACAGATGAGATCCCTAATGTTTTAAAGTCTGGTTTCTAAGCAGCAATGAGATTAAACAGAGATCAAATGGAGATGGTTTTTCCAAGTAAAATATTAATAATGTATTAGGCTTATACTCTAAGTAGCATTCGCAAAACAGACAGTTAAATCGTTAATTGCAATTATTTGTTTGACAATTAATCAAAATCTCCTGCTTCTCAGATTTTTCTCCTGAGATAGAAACCCTCTAGCCAGGGTTACTAAAACATCATCACTGCTTGAAATAAACATTAACTGAAATAAAAGAAAATATAAAAAATCTTGCAAAACATAAACTAAACTAAACTTAATAAAAGCATTAAAAACACTAATTGGCCAAACACTACAAAATTACTAAAAGTTTAAATAAAGTTAAAATGAAAACAGAAAATATAAAAATAAAATAAAATATATTTTAAAAACTATATTATATCAATGATACTAAAATAACACTGTCTAGAGGTTTAGAAGAGATCCTAATAATAAACTAATAAAATGACAAAAACACTACAAAATTACTAAAAGTTGAACTAAAGTTAAAATGAAAACAGAAAATATAAAATAAAATATATAAAAAAACTATATTATATCAATGATACTAAATTAACACTGTCTAGAAGAGATACAAATATCTCACACATTTCATTCTTCCAATTTGACAACAATCTGTGACTATTTTATTTCTCCTAATGAATTTAAGCACCAATATTTGAGACAAAGTACATTTTTAAAACATATTTTAGCCCTCCATTAAAGCTCCTGAGATATGCAAGAGCAACCTCTGAGCAACCTCTGAATTCCAATTTTGATTCTTTAATGATTCCATTAACAATTCTTTTAGAACTTTTGAAGGAGCTGCTTTACAACTGACTGATTTGTGACTGATTCATTGAAAAAACTGCTCATTAGACTGATTTGTGCCTAATTCAGACTATGTGCAATACGTGTAACCTGTGAAGATGTCGCAATAAAAGATGGGTTTTCTTTCTTTCCACTCTCATCAAATTCGATTCAGACGGCACAATTCAATTCAAACCCACAGCTCAACTAAAACATCATTTCATTATGATGTTATAGATTCAACAATGGTGCAGCATCACTTCTGAATTGCAGTGCAAGAGTATTTTAGTGCGGTTTCATCAGCATTGATGGATGAATGCAGACGTTAAAGAACGGATAATGAAAATGGACGTCATTCAGAGCTCCTTAAAAACTCACCAGGCATGGATGTAGACATGGTTCTGCTCTGGATGCTGGGGCTGATGGGACCCCCTCCTTTACCCGTGAACGCCCTCACTCTGATGTCATAGGTGGTGTCTGGCTGCAGACCCTGGATGGTCATCTGCGTCTCGGCGGTACCGTTGGTCTGGTTCTGATGGCTGTTGATGTCACGGTACACCACCACATAGCGTATGATCTTCCCGTTCCTCTCGGGCAGAGGCGGAGGGTCCCAGGCCAGTTTGGTGGTGGTGGTCGTCAGGCCCACCACTCTGAGGTTTTGAGGGTAACTGCTGGGCACGTCTTCCGGGGTGCTGATCTCTTTGCTGTACTCCTCTCCGTTTCCCGCGCGGTTCTTGGCGCAGAGCTTGAAGATGTAGGTGGCGCCCTTGTGCAGGCCGGTGACAGTGAAGTGGTCGTCGGTGCGTCTCAAGTCATGGGTGGTGTAGGTCTCCTCCTCTTCACGCTTGTAGCGCAGTCTGTAGCCCATCAGTTCGCCCACCATCTCTTTAGGGGGCTGCCACTGGATCAGAGCTGTGTTCCCAATGGTGGTGCTAATGATCATGGTGGGCTTGCCAGGAACTACCAGTGACAGAGATGGGAGAATATTTGTCAGAGAATATTTGTTATTTTGCAGTCAAGGCTAATGCTGAATTAAAGTGATAGTTCACCCAAAAACACCCAAATAATTTCTGGACCAGCAACTGTTTGGTTACCCACATTCTTTAAAATATCTTCCGCAGAAGAAAGAAATTCATACAGGTTTGGAGCAACTTGAGGGTGAGTAAACGATGACTGAATTTAAATTTTTGGTTAAACTATCCTTTTACACAGTTTGATTTCAGTAACTATGGTATTGTGGTGTAGGGCTACACCTAGAGCTGGGCGATATGGCAAAAAAAATTGAATCTTGATTTTTTTTCCGAACGAGTTCGACTGATTTTCGGTTTTTACGATTTTTAACTAGTCAACTTGAAAATGTAACCACAACATGATTCAAGTAACTTTTTCTTTATTAATGCTCTAGTTAAAGAAAATTCTATTCCAAGTGCGTCACACATGAATTTGTTAAATGATAAACAAATCACTTGTTAAATCACGTGCGCCGACATGCAGTTGGATTATTCTTTTCTCTTTACTGTTATCATTGGCATATTGACAAAGAGTCTAATTCTAACGTTTGGTAATATTTCTATTCAAAATCATGATTCCTTGATTTATAAAAAATAAAATCATGGTAAAACATTAAATTCGAATTAATTGATAAAATCAGGAAAATCGCCCAGGCCTAGCTGCACCAATGAAATAAAATTGCAATATGGCTGCAATTTAATTAAATAAATGGATGCGATGCATCAGTTTCATAGTGAAGCACAGTACTGTGTTAATTTACAAGCGTGCAGCTCATGATATACTGTTTCAGTGGTTTTGTTCATTTACTGTGAATCAAGCCACTCTGAGATGCTGAAACAGCATATCACGAGCTGAATGCATGTAAATGATGAACAAAGTGCTGCACTTGGCTCTGAAACCAGCAGTGCATGTATTTATTTGCAGGAAAACCGCCAAAATAAAAGTTTGATGGTTTAACATTTGAAAATTCGATTAGTCCTGTAATTTTACTGCTATAATGTTTTTAGAATTTATTAAATTATTTATTTTTTATAATAATGATGTTTTGTAATATATTTCTTATTTTAATATTTGCAGAGCTTGTGTAGGTGGCGCCCTTGTGCAGGCCGGTGACAGTGAAGTGGTCGTCGGTGCGTCTCAAGTCATGGGTGGTGTAGGTCTCCTCCTCTTCACGCTTGTAGCGCAGTCTGTAGCCCATCAGTTCGCCCACCATCTCTTTAGGGGGCTGCCACTGGATCAGAGCTGTGTTCCCAATGGTGGTGCTAATGATCATGGTGGGCTTGCCAGGAACTACCAGTGACAGAGATGGGAGAATATTTGTCAGAGAATATTTGTTATTTTGCAGTCAAGGCTAATGCTGAATTAAAGTGATAGTTCACCCAAAAACACCCAAATAATTTCTGGACCAGCAACTGTTTGGTTACCCACATTCTTTAAAATATCTTCCGCAGAAGAAAGAAATTCATACAGGTTTGGAGCAACTTGAGGGTGAGTAAACGATGACTGAATTTAAATTTTTGGTTAAACTATCCTTTTACACAGTTTGATTTCAGTAACTATGGTATTGTGGTGTAGGGCTACACCTAGAGCTGGGCGATATGGCAAAAAAAATTGAATCTTGATTTTTTTTCCGAACGAGTTCGACTGATTTTCGGTTTTTACGATTTTTAACTAGTCAACTTGAAAATGTAACCACAACATGATTCAAGTAACTTTTTCTTTATTAATGCTCTAGTTAAAGAAAATTCTATTCCAAGTGCGTCACACATGAATTTGTTAAATGATAAACAAATCACTTGTTAAATCACGTGCGCCGACATGCAGTTGGATTATTCTTTTCTCTTTACTGTTATCATTGGCATATTGACAAAGAGTCTAATTCTAACGTTTGGTAATATTTCTATTCAAAATCATGATTCCTTGATTTATACAAAATAAAATCATGGTAAAACATTAAATTCGAATTAATTGATAAAATCAGGAAAATCGCCCAGGCCTAGCTGCACCAATGAAATAAAATTGCAATATGGCTGCAATTTAATTAAATAAATGGATGCGATGCATCAGTTTCATAGTGAAGCACAGTACTGTGTTAATTTACAAGCGTGCAGCTCATGATATACTGTTTCAGTGGTTTTGTTCATTTACTGTGAATCAAGCCACTCTGAGATGCTGAAACAGCATATCACGAGCTGAATGCATGTAAATGATGAACAAAGTGCTGCACTTGGCTCTGAAACCAGCAGTGCATGTATTTATTTGCAGGAAAACCGCCAAAATAAAAGTTTGATGGTTTAACATTTGAAAATTCGATTAGTCCTGTAATTTTACTGCTATAATGTTTTTAGAATTTATTAAATTATTTATTTTTTATAATAATGATGTTTTGTAATATATTTCTTATTTTAATATTTTAATAATGATCACAGTAAAAATTATTTATATTATATTATCAGACAGTGGGGATTTGACCTATGAAAACTCAAATGAAAGTTGTTTTTTTTTTGGTTCACTTATTTACAGAAAGAGGATTGAGATGGTTCTTGTAGAGGTATACCAATGTGTGTGGACACCCAAATTTTTCCCAAATCTTTCAATCTTTAAAGGATGTTCACACTCAAAACAAAGTCTTCAGAGTAAAAATTCATTTTTTTCCCCGATATCGTGTTCACCCTATTTCACTCTAGTTCATTTTGTAAGGAACTAAATGGATAAAAAAGAATGAATTCTGTTTAATTAACAATAACTCGGCCAGACTGTTCAGATGATGAAATGGGTATACAAATACAGCTACAGTGACAGCTGAGGTCACTGTGAGGTCATTGTGGGCTTGAGTCTGAAGGTTTGTGGAGTTTTTACATCATAACTACAGTTTAACTTTTTACCTCTAAATGCACCTAAACTTTCACTGAACCCTTAAACACACAATCTCACCGGCCCCTGTTGTGGTCACCACTTTGGCTTTGCTGCGTGCTCCATCTCCCTTAGTGGTGTACGCCGCCACAGTCACTGAATATGTGGTTTCAGGCAGCAGGCCTGTGATGATGGCCTCCTGAGAGAGAGAGAGAGAGAGAGAGAGAGAGAGAGAGAGAAAGACAGGTCAAACGATGGCAGGCAGAGACATACCGTGCTGTTGCTCCTTTTTCATCGTTCAGTGCGCTGTCACAGTTGTGACATGTCTGTTTAATATTGTTGAAGTTCATTTCAAGGTTTTCATTAAACTTTAAGCATTCAGTCAGGACATGAAGCTTTGTCTCAATTTCCAGTCTGTACCTGGTCATGGTGCTTCTCACTTTCCTATCAGTCACATCAAATCTTTTTAAAGCCAGACGATGTTGAGTTTTATTTCGTCTAGGGTGTAAATGATCATATAATCCTGTTTTCTTGTGGTCAATAAGCGGTAAGATGTTTTCAGAAATTGCTCCTTTTCTGTCTTTATAATTCAAGGATAAGTTCTCCACACTCGTTCAGCATGCAAAGTTTCAAGAAGTTTCAGCTGATTTAATTTAGGATCAATGCAGGATTTTTGAAGCATAAAAGGCTCTTCTGCGAGTTCATTCACTGCAGGGCTGAAGAAATCTGTGGAAGCGACTTTAAAGTCTACATTTTTACAGCATGATGAACGTGTGATATGGTTGGTGCCTAATGTGAATTTGTTTTTTATTCCCTGAGAACTACATCATTTTCAGAAGGTCATAATTCTAGTTTTATTCGTTCCACAACCAGGTCTGCCAGTTCGCCAGTACTGCTCTTGTAGATCTAGTTTCCTCTGACAGATTCGAGCTGGTACATTTGATAAAACAAACACAGAAAAAACCATCAGAGCATCTAAAGATAGTCATCTCAAGCAAAACACTGCAAGAATGAGGAAAACTGATGCAGGTGTTTTGTTTCAGTGTGTGGGGATGCTTTTTGTGTCTGGAAGAACGGCAGGAGGCCGTGAATATTTACCAAAACCCTTCTGAAGTTTCCTCCTATTGAACATAGACGTGTGACATATTGCAGTCTGCATTTTCAGGGGGAACTTTAGCATCACAAAAAGGCTGGAAATCTGGAACAAGTGAAAAAACACTCCCACATGTATTTGTAGGAATGAAAAATAGCAAACATGCTCAGATGTTTGTAGTACAAAAAATCCACCAAACCAACACCTGTTCATGCTCACGCACTGTACAGATGTCTTTGAAATTGTGAAATGCTCAAAGATTTCATAAATTTCACTATTTCACATGCACATAAACTATAACTTATCGTAAACATGGTGAAAAAAGCAAACCATCAGAGACAACACAGTCATTCTCGCTCTTACTCTAAACCTAATGCATCCTTAAACGCATTATGAAATCAAAACGGATTCTATTATTAATACACTGAAAAAATTGTAGTGGGATTTACTTTGAAACAATTTTCACTCAAAAATAGCAAGTAAATTTCACAAATAATTACAAAGAAATGGCAGGTAATTCCCACTTTTCATGATATAATCCATTTCCGACGGATAAAATCCCATCCCATCCATTTTTTCTCACTGAATATCCAGTTTCACCTGGAAATGCATCATCGTGCAGAAGTAAAATAGGTTGCAAACAGAGTTTCACATTGACTTTAATTATCATTTCACAGCTAGCCCACAATTCCAGATTCTCTCTCTCTTGCAGGAGATCAGAGGAAATGTGAACGCGTGAATCATCTAACGCTTTTAAATGCTAGTTAGAAGCTGCAGCGTGGCAGGGGTCCCTCTCTCAAAAAGCGCATTTACTTTTTGCTTTATTCCCTGTTTCGAGTAGTCCGTCTTATCTCTGGCATGTGTTTTGGGGAGTCATTGAGTCCTGAAAAGTGGGAAGACTTCAACATTTCACATTAAGGCATGATGGATAGGCTGCCTGTGGCAACACAGAATTTACCAGAGCCGGCCACCATTGAGAGAGACGCCTCTTTATCTGTTTAGAGTGATATCACTGTCACGACTCATTAATAAAGAAGAAAAGGCAACAGAGAGAGATGGAGGGACGGCTCAGAAACAGACAGACCCTCATACAGACAGAGAGCTTTAACAGGGCAGAGCTGCACATGACAGCTCAACATCAGCCTCTGTAAATATATAGGGCACAGGAAGAGAGATGGAGGCTGCCAGCATCACAAGAGTCACACGCCTTCTGAACAATGACTTTCAAGTGCTTCACCAGTTAGAATTTTCATGAGAATTTTTAGCCTGTGCAATGTTTTAGAGCACATTATCTTTAATGAACTGATCAAAAGACAAAGCTGACAAGCTTTGTGGTAATAAATAATAATGGTAAAACATTCAAATATGTAAAATGCTATTGTTTTGTGTTGTATTTTTGTTTAGAATATCGGCTACATGGCAGTTTCTAAAACTAAAATGAAATAAAACTTCATTAAAAATGCTTAAACCTAAATTTGAACCATGCTAATCAATATGCAGAACTAGGGATGCACCGATACCACTTTTTCCAGTACTCGCCCGATACCGATACATTTATTTTTGGTACTTGCCGATACCGAGTACCGATACCGGTATTTTTATTGCATTTGTACATTTTTTAAATATTGGGTATAGAAACCAAAAGGGTATGTATAATGTTAGCTGGTTAACTTCATTTATCAAATAGATACAGTCAAACCAAAATCTATTTGAATGTTTTATTTATTGCATACATATACTTCGTAGTAGACACCCTTAACTCCTTTCTGCTGTCTGTTGTTCTATTGTCGGTGTTTCTTTGCTTGAATATGGCGCTTATCACATGCTGTGTGGTATCGGCGTTTGGTATCGGGGCATTTTAACGAGTACGAGTACAGGAGCTCAGTATCGGGCCCGATACCGATACCAGTATCGGTATCGGTGCATCCCTATGCAGAACTATTAACACAATAGGGCTGGGTATTACTATTTGATTTGATATTGATTCAATTGGAAATATATTTTAGGCAAGTCAATTTTTTAATTCATAAAGAACATAAAGAATTCTTCACCCTTTTGAAAGTTGATAAATCTACTGATTTTAAATAAATATTTAAGCAATATCAAAGAAGAAAGAGCACCAAATCAAACGTGTGAAAAAATTAAAACGATAGCAAAACTGCTGTATTGCTTTTATACAGCAGTTTATAAAAAAAAGAGACACATGTTCAATCCTTACTGAGTTTTTGAACAAATTGGTTGAATGAATGATTCATTTGACTCACTTTTTGCCATCTACTGTTGCATCAATGCAACCTACAAAAAGAGAACTGAAGAAATCCTCTCAAATAATAGACAGATTGGCTGTATGGATTCAGTACAACTGTTGTATAAACACAATTATATGGTTAGTTGCATTTTATAATGTGCATTCAGAATTATTTTTCCCTGCACTCTGTGACCCTATCAAAACAGACCAGGGACTCATTTTTGGGTCACGGCCCACCAGTTATTAATCTAAAGTTCCCTCTACTAAAACAGCAGAGCTTCAGGTGAAATCAACAGCTTCATTCAATGGAAAATCAAAGCTCCCGGTGGACAAGAGATTGAGAGAGAGAGTTAGACAGCAGCGATGCATTTGAGTTGTGTAGTATAAATACTGCATCTTCAGGGTGCAGGCTCTTATCTTCAGAGACATGAGGGAAGATAAATCTAAAAGATTTTAGTGACAAATCCATTTGTGTGAAATTTCATAAAGATGTTAATTCATTCCCCAGTGGCAGAACACCAATTCACAAAACCATCGCAGAAAACACTTGAACAGACTGAGAGAGAGAATGAAGGAGCTGGGAGTCTCCTGTCTACAATCACAACACACGCAGTATTTCACGAGGCAGATGGAGCCGTATTCCTGCCGCATGCCCACATCCCACAACCATAGACTGTATAAAAACATGGACGTAGTGTCCATGACGTCACCCGTAGGTTTCTGAAGAGCATTTTTGAAGCCTAAAGTGGGCAGAGCGGGCCGTCGCCATCTTGGCAGCGCGTCACCGCACGTCACTCTCGTATAATCGAAAAAGGGCAAAGAGGCGGAACGCGGGTGGAGCTGGTTGCTGAAACCACGCCCTCCTAGCTCGACGGTGGTGATAGCAGCGGCAATCCACCTGCCATAGGTTTCTGAAGAGCATTTTTGAAGCCTAAAGTGGGCAGAGCGGGCCGTCGCCATCTTGGCAGCGCGTCACCGCACGTCACTCTCGGCTGGGTATTACTATTTGATTTGATATTGATTCAATTGGAAATATATTTTAGGCAAGTCAATTTTTTAATTCATAAAGAACATAAAGAATTCTTCACCCTTTTGAAAGTTGATAAATCTACTGATTTTAAATAAATATTTAAGCAATATCAAAGAAGAAAGAGCACCAAATCAAACGTGTGAAAAAATTAAAACGATAGCAAAACTGCTGTATTGCTTTTATACAGCAGTTTATAAAAAAAGAGACACATGTTCAATCCTTACTGAGTTTTTGAACAAATTGGTTGAATGAATGATTCATTTGACTCACTTTTTGCCATCTACTGTTGCATCAATGCAACCTACAAAAAGAGAACTGAAGAAATCCTCTCAAATAATAGACAGATTGGCTGTATGGATTCAGTACAACTGTTGTATAAACACAATTATATGGTTAGTTGCATTTTATAATGTGCATTCAGAATTATTTTTCCCTGCACTCTGTGACCCTATCAAAACAGACCAGGGACTCATTTTTGGGTCACGGCCCACCAGTTATTAATCTAAAGTTCCCTCTACTAAAACAGCAGAGCTTCAGGTGAAATCAACAGCTTCATTCAATGGAAAATCAAAGCTCCCGGTGGACAAGAGATTGAGAGAGAGAGTTAGACAGCAGCGATGCATTTGAGTTGTGTAGTATAAATACTGCATCTTCAGGGTGCAGGCTCTTATCTTCAGAGACATGAGGGAAGATAAATCTAAAAGATTTTAGTGACAAATCCATTTGTGTGAAATTTCATAAAGATGTTAATTCATTCCCCAGTGGCAGAACACCAATTCACAAAACCATCGCAGAAAACACTTGAACAGACTGAGAGAGAGAATGAAGGAGCTGGGAGTCTCCTGTCTACAATCAC